TTTACCTGGTTGTTAGTCGATTGGCGGATCGCTTTCTCGCGGTGATAATCAGCTCAAAACAAAATAAATAAATGGGTCAGTTCGATCCGCGAGTGTTTGTGAAACGCCGCTGTGCGCAATTGGCTGCTGCGTTTGGCCCACAAAACACACACAGTGGAGTCCCGCAGCTCAGCGGTTAGAGCGCTCGCCTCGCAAGCGGGAGAACTGGGTTCGATTCCCGGCAGGTCAGGGCGAAACCTTGGGCAAGTTTCCTTACTCCGCACACACGCCTGATAATAGTCCCTCGAGCAAACAAAACCACAATAAATTGGTCACTTCAATCCACGGCTGTTTGCGGGGACGCTGCTGTGCGCAATTGGCTGCCGCGTTCCGCCCACAAATATACACAGTCATTCACTTCACAGTCTATTCTGCGAAGCGCTTTGAGACGTCTGGATGACGTGATGAGGCGCTGTCATCAAATGCATTATTATTATTATTATTGCCGTTGTTATTTCCTCGGGCGGCTCTGTGAAGAACAAGGCTGGTTTGAACCCACCACTTGACTTTTACTGCCTTTCCCTCTCCCCCCTCTCCCCCTGTGTTCATGAGCCGGAGAAAACAGCAGCGTGATTTTTGAAGTCATTTCTTTTTTCTTGAAATCTGCTATTTTTAATCGTAATCATTTCGGGGAGGGAGAGAAACAGACAGCGAGCGAGAGAGAGAGAGAGAGACTGACTGAGTGTGTGTGTGTGAGAGAGAGAGACTGACTGAGTGTGTGTGTGTGTGAGAGAGAGAGAGAGATGGAGAGAAGGAATATTCTGCCCTGAATGCCGAATGCTGCAGTGAGTTTGCAGCACAACTCATGCCAATGCGGCACTTTGCAGCGTTGGATCGATCCATTCGATAGAAGCTCGATGTTGCGGGTGGATAGGGAATGCCAATGCGCAAGTGTTCGAGTCGGTTGGGAAGCTTGTAACCTAAAGCTGCGTTCCTCCTGGGACCTCTCCCTGCTTCTAATTAACAGCTGGGATCAGCCAACTGATACTGAGTGCCCCGGCTCCTCCCTCCCTCCCTCCCTCCCTCTCTCACACTCTCTCCCTCTTCCTCCCCTCTCCCTCTCACTGTTTACCACCTCCTCCTTTCTTTATACCGTCTTCGTTTCTCCCACAACCAGAGAGAGAGAGAGTGTCGGCTACAGTGAGAGGACATTACAGCTTATCAAATACCTGTCGTTCCTCTTCTTAGCATTGCTTGACGCCAGGGTCGTCCCAACTGGCGGCCCGCGGGCCGCATTCGGCCCACTGGGCGATTTTGTCCGCCTTCCCTCACCCCTCTCCATTTCATCCGGTCCACCCACTCCCCTCCTTAACCCGTAAGTGTTTTTTTTTAAAACGTTACGTTCCCGGAGGGGAAACACAAATATATGCTGCCTGTGCGGCCAGTATATTTCGCCCACAAAAATGCCGCAGCCACTACACTTTTCCGGTGTGTCCCCGTGAAGCGCTTTGAGACGTCTCGAAGATGTGATGAGGCGTCGGGTCAAATAAAAGGATTATTATTATTATGATAAATGGGCTGAGACGCCCAGATTTGGGGCTTTGCATCTCTTGAACTACCACCAACATCCCAGTGGCACCGTTATTACCATGATAATAATTAATAATAATGATAACAGCCCTTGCATTTGATATCACGCCGTCGAGACGACGTCTCAAAGCTTTTCAGTATACAGTCACTATATCCTTAGCAGCAGTGTGACTGAGAGGGGTGGGGGTGGGGAGGAACAGCGGGTTGTGAGGTGGGGTGGGGGGAGGCGAATTAATCCCGTGTCCTACAAAGACTCGTGTGTGCCAGTGGACAGAGCCATCCCAAAGAATGACTCAGTTCTAAATATCGTGTGGGTCAGGGCTATTTTTAGTCGGAGGCTCCTATCTATAGCTTCAGACCAAATGCTCTTTGACAGCAATAACCCACGTCTCAAATTGCACTCGTGTCCCATCCCACCGGGGTCTGACTCGGACAGAGCGGAGAGAGAGAGAGAGAGAACTTGCTCCTCCTTCTGGCCTGTAAACCTCTAGTCCTGTAGGGTTGGTGGTTAGCGATTAGAGCACTCGCCTCGCAGGCGAGAGGACCCCGGGTCCACATTTAATATTATTATTATTTTTCATCGAAGGGATTCAATCAGAAAGCGATCCGCCAATTGACGAGCAAACAGAGGCGTGTGCGTGTGGAGCCTAAGGTCTAAGTCCTGGCCGCGAATCGAACCCGGGTCCTCTCGCTTGCGAGGCGAGGTCCCTAACCACCGAGCTACAGGACTTTTTTTTTCTAAACTCCCTGTGTTTTTTACAGTCACCAACAGAAGCGGCAGCAAGAGCTAGTGGGTACTTTGCTCTCTGTCATGAGTCAGTCAGTCAGTCAGACCGTCCACAGGACTTTCTGCGTCTCGCGACGCTGTGTAAAGTCATTATTTTCCCAGACAAAAAGTTGACAGGAAAATAAAAGAAACGCGATGAATGATGTGTTTTTCTTTTTTTGTGAAAAAAAAAGAAAACTTGCATAACGTTAAACTGCTGCCTCACATAGACCTCAAAGGATAAATTAATCCTCTCTACTCTTTCTTGGGCTCTTTCTCAGTGCAGTTTGGGAGAGCATCAGCCAGACTCGGTCAGAGAGAGAGGGAGAGAGAGAGAGAGAGAGAGAGGGTCAGTGTGAGAGAGAAAGGGAGTGTGTGTGTGTGAGACGGAGTGGATTAGTTGAGGTACAGGTCAGCCACAATCTAATTAAACGGCGGAACAGGCTCGAAGGGGCTGAATGGCCTCCTCCTGTTCCTAAGAGCGCCGCTCATTTTCGTTACCCTTTCTTTCCGGGGAAAAATACTTCCTGACCCACTTCACGAGGGTAAGGATGAGCCACCGACGGTCCTGAGCTGTGAACGTTCACAGAGCGACACCACACTGCAATGGCAGCTGATTGACAAGGAACTTAGGAACAGGAGGAGGCCATTCAGCCCCTCGAGGCCGTTCCGCCGTTCTATTAGATCAGGGTGGCCGATTTCATCCAGGCCCCCCCCCCCCCCCCCCACACACACACTCTTTCATCACCCACTCCCTCAGAGGACCCGGGTTCGATTCCCGAGCGGGTCAGGTCAGGGCGAAACCGTAGGCAAGTTTCCTTACTCCCCACAGACACAGACACACACACAGACATACACACAGACACACACACACACACAGACACACACAGACACAGACACACACACACAGACACACACAGACACAGATACACACAGACACACACACACACAGACACACACACGCGCGCCTCCGGTTACCCCAAGCAGTGGATAACGCGTTATTATCAAACTCGAGGATCATTATTATTATGTGAGCTCTTTCCTCCTGGCACGAAAGGCGCTATAATAAGTGTAAAGAGACGGCGCTGCCGCTGCTGCTGATGATTATTATTATTGCACATAAACAAGCGACACAAATCAGCTGCTAAACTCGAGACTCTCGCACTCTCTGTTGTATTTACTTGGCCTCTGGTGGCCGGCAGCTTCTCTCTGGTGGTGTATCTATAAATATTTTTAAAAAGGAATGTGCATTGCAGTTTTCGCAGCCCAGGCCCCGCTGAGTATTTCTCTCCTTTCTTTTTTGGAAGTGGAAAGGTTTTGCCGCTTAATATCGGAGGCAACTAGCTGTGGCGGGCGAGGACTGGGTGGGGGCCGCGGTTAACCCAAGTAGACGGAGTTTGCCGTCATTAATGATGATAATAATAATGATAATAATCCCGGCATTTGGCACAGCGCCTCCTCACGTCTTCGAGACGTCTCGAAGCGCCTCACGGGATACACTGTAAAGTGAACCGACTACTGTGTATTTTTTGAGGCGTCAAAAATAAAAAAAGGGCTTCGCAGAATGTACTGTAAAGAGGTGTAGTGACTGCGGATCTTGGCAGCCAATTGCCGCGGCCCCCACAAACAGCCGTGGATTGAGAGACCAAATTATTATTATTATTTTTAAGAAATGGTACCTCTCTTCCCCCTCTCCCCCTTTCGCTCTCTCTCCCCCTCTCGCTCTCTCTCCCCCTCTCGCGCTCTCTCCCCCTCTCGCTCTCTCTCCCCCTTTCGCTCTCTCTCCCCCTCTCGCGCTCTCTCGCCTCAGAGTCAGAAGGGTGTGGGTTCAAGCCCCCGCATCGGGACTTGGGATCACACCGTCTAAGCTGATGTTCCAGTGGAGCCCTGGGGGGTCAGGTGTGGTGTTGGGGAGGGGGGCAAGTGGGCCGAAGCCAGCCGAGCGGTGGGGGGGGGGGGGGGGGTAGTGGGTCGGGGAGTAATCAGGTTGGAGGTGCCGGGGAGTGAAGGGGTTTGTAGACGAGTGTGAGCAGTGTATGTTCAAACATTAAGCCGAACAAACAAAGTTTGCCAAGTCTTCAGCTCAGTGATGCCGTGGCTATTTCCAACGGTTTTTCTACCCCCCCCCACCACCCCCACCCCACCCCACCCCACCCAGTGAACCACACCGGGGTGGGAGGGGGGGGTGGGGGTAGCTTCTGAGAGACGTTATTGGGCCCCGATGAGTGTGAGGCCCGTCTAAAGACTTACCTCTTTGACCATGTTTTCGGACAAAATTCCCACACACCCACACACACCTTCCACCCCTCCTGACTCCACCCAACCCCCCCCTCCCCACCCCACCCCCAGCTCGGGTGCAAACCCTCAGCTGTCCAGCCCCTTGGGACGTCCTCCCAACTGTGAAAGGCGCCTTGTAAATGCCGTTTGATGATGATGATGATGTTGTTGTTGTTCGTGTAGGGTATAAATGTCCCTGAGTATTTCGCAATCGGCTGCCCACAAGTTTCGCCCGCACGATACACAGTCACTCCACCTTACAGCGTATCCTGCGAAGCGCTTTGAGATGTCTCGGAGACGCCAGGAGGCGCTGTGTCAAATGCAATGATTATTATTATTATTATTTTCACCATCTTATTCACCGACTCTATCTCTATTCTCTCCTCAGATCACCAGAAGCTGGAGAGGGAAGCTCGGATCTGTCGTCTGTTGAAGCACTCCAATATCGGTGAGCACTGCCCCCCTCTCTCTCTCTCTCTCTCTCTGTGCCGTAAAGAGTGTCAGAAAATCCTTTGCCCTGATTCCCGGTGGTTTCAAACCCCCCCCCCCGAGCCGTGAGGAGTTTGTTGGGTGGTTTTGATTGTTGGCACAGACACGGTGGGCCGAACGGCCTCCTCTGCGCGCTCTATATTTTTGTGCTTCCGTGGACCGTTCCACGTAACCAATCGCTCCGGCTTCTTGGAACGAGGATGAGTGTCAAACGGTGTCGGAAGGGAAGGAGGAAACGGCATCTTCATCAGGACTACGGTGTTGGTGTTGGAGTGATTTGTGTGATGCTCCTTTGCAGTGGTATCATTGTGGAGTCCGGTAGCTCGAGGGTTAGAGCAGTCGTTAGTCGATTGGCAGATTGCTTTGTCCGGGGGTAATAATCCCTTCAAAAAATAAAATAAATAAAATGTGGTCACTTCCACCCACGGCTGTTTGTGGGGGGGACGCCGCTGTGCGCAATCGGCTGCCGCGTTTCGCCCACAAAATACACAGTCACTCCACTTTACGGTGTGTCCTGTGAAGCGCTTTGAGACGTCTCGAAGGCGCGATCAGGCGCCGGGACAAACGCGAGGATTATTGTCAGTAACTCAGGGAATGTCGGTTGAACACAATCAATTGCAACTCTTATTATTATTATTACTTATTCGTTTTAACGTCAAAACAGCAGCAAATACCACGACACGATTATGAACTGTGCGCGAAGGCAACATGTATTAGAGATGTCAAACAAGTGGTCGAGATGTATTGTCTGAAGCCTAAACGTTCAAACCCACCCACTCCCCCTTCCTTTATAATTCACCACGTGACAGTCTGGAGGTTGTTCCTGTGGGATACTCCTTGCGATGTTCGCATTATTTGCGCTGACAGAACCTGACGAGCAGCAGATTTTGAGCCGCCATAACATTGTGGCCTACACCACAGTGTGTGTGTGTGTGTGTTGCAGAGAGAGACTTGTTTTAGAATTCACATTAAAAAAAATATATATATATGTATATATTCTTTTCTTGGGTCAGCCGGGTGTCTGACACGCTCGGAAACCCGTCACCGTTGTTTAAGAGTCTCCAAACCCGACTGAGAATTCCCCACATCCCACCCACACCCGGGAATCCCAGAGAGAGATGGTCGGGATGCAATGCGCTCTCTCTCTCTCCAGAGTATTAGGCGCAGGTTGGCGAGAGCCAAGGCTTGGAAGGGTGGGGAGGGGGGAGGCCAGAGAGTGTGCGATGGGGTAACTGCTAGGGGTCTAACCGGCTAACACCACACAGCTTGGCCGATGAGAGCGCTGTCTGGCCAAGCTTTCCCGCTGCTTGGACTTCCCCGAGTCCAAAATCGAGGGAATCCGCTCAACTGCCACTGCCCTCCCAACTTCCACCCCCTCCCTACCTCACCCCCCCCCCCCCCACACACACACTCCGACCACTACCCATCCCTCCTTCCATGCCTTTGAACCTGTCACCCCCTGCTCTGTCATCACCACCATAACCTCCGTGAAGCCCACCACCTGCTCCCTGGTCCCCATCCCCACCCCTCTCCTTAAATCCCAGCCCCACCTCCTTGCCCCACTACTCGCCGACATCATCAACCTCTCCATGTCATCTGACACTGTTCCTTCCCCCCTCAAAACAGCCACTATCAGCCCCACCTTGAAGAAACCTTCCTTCGACCCCTCACAGCTGTCAGCTCCCGGCCCATCTCCCACCTCCCTTTCCTGTCTAAGGTCCTTGAGAGAGCCGTCGCCTCTCCGCTTTGCTCTTTCCTCTCCTCCCACTCCCTCCATGAACCCCTCCAACCGGGTTTCTGTGTTGCCCACAGCACGGAAACTGCTCTGGTCAAGGTCACAAACGACATCCTGACCGTGCGTGGCCAGGGCTCCCTCTGCCTCCTCGTCCCCCTCGACCTCTCCGCCGCCTTCGACACCGTGGACCACTCAATCCTCCTCCAGCGCCTCTCCTCCCACCTCCTTTAAGCTCGAGGGAACTGCATTGATCAGCCACCGAGATGCGGAGACTAACCTGCGGGTGTTTCACTTTAAATTAATTTGTGTGTCAGCCCGGCTCAGTGGCAGCGCTCTCTCTCTCTGTCTCTCCTGGCCGACAATCCCACCCCCCCCCCCCCCCCGAGTTTCGGCAACAAAATACGCAGACACTCCACATTACGGCGTATGCCGTGAAGCGCTTTGAGACGCCTCGTAAGACGTGATGAGGCGCTGTGTCAAATGCAAGGATTATTGTGATTAAACGACACCAAAAAGCCGCGGTGCCTGAGGTGCGGAGGCAGGGGATTGTGTTGCTGACAGTACACACACACCCCCGTAAATTGAGGAGGAACGAAAAACAAAGCCCGACAGAGCTCCTGAAATCAGTGCCTTAATTTGGTACTCAGCACTGTGTAATAACATGTCAGATCAGTCAACAGAATCCAATGAAACTTCCCCCCACCCACCACCCCCACCGCGCACACTCCCCATCCCCCCCCAACCCCCCCCCCCCCACACACACACATCCCCTCCCAAGTCACTGTAATTACAGTTTCTCTGCTACAACTTGGGAGCAAACTGCTCGCTTCATCCTACACTTGTAAATCAAAACCCGCGGTGTTATAATTCCTCGCAGGGGAGGAAAGGTTGCGCGGGGAGAGTCAATGGTGGCGTTGGGAACCGACGAGGCTTTGAGTAGAGAGGGAGCAGCTGTGTCCTCTGGTGGGCGGCCGGGCGGGCGGGTCGGTAACCAGAGGGCACGGATTCAAGATAATTGGCGAAAGAACGAGAAGGGGAGGCGGCGAGATTTTTTTCTTTTTCCTCATCTTTTTAATGCCAGCGAGTTGCGATGGTTTGGAGCGCACTGGGGCGGAGGGGGCGGGCGGGAGAAGTTTCGACCGCAGGTTTCTAAAGGGAAGGCATTTTGGATGAGACGTGCTGAGGCGCCGGGGATCGTCGTCAGTGACTCGGGGGAACGCGGGTTGAACGCAGACCGAGTGAGACCCCGAGGGTTGCCTCGCGGCGGCGCAGTGACGCAGCCTCGGGCCACAGCCGCTCGCAAAGGGCAGGTTGTGCTCACGTGACAGCGGAGGTTAATGAAGCCGTACACTGTCTTGGCTCTCGTCAACCCCAACGGCGTGGGGTTGGCAAACAGTTTAAAGGAACAGAATGATTACCTCTTCTTGCCGCTGCCTCGCTGTGTGTTGGCGATAGTGCAGCCCCCCCGACAGTCAGACCTGAAGCGCAGTGGTTAGAGCCCTCGCCAAGCGAGAGAGGACTCGGGTTCGATTCCCGGGCGGGTCAGGTCAGGGCGAGACCTCAAGACAAGTTTCCTCACCCCACACACGAGCCTCTGATTGCCGGCGGTCGGTAGGAACCCACTGTTACCTGATTGTGGGATCGCTTTTCCGGGTGTAATAATCCCTTCAAAATTTTAAATAAAAAAACAACAATAATAATTTGGTCACTTCAACCCACGGCCGTTTGTGGGGGACGCTGCTGTGCGCAATTGGCTGCCGCGTTTCGCCCACAATATACACAGTTACTTCACTTTACGGTGGATCCTGTGAAGCGCTTCGAGACGACGTGATGAGGCACCGGGTCAAATTGCGACGACGATTATTATTATTATTTTTTTTAATGGATTAATTCTGGCCGCGAAGCGGGTGGGCAGGGAAGGGACGAGGCACGTTTTGTTTTCGCCCTGACAGGGACTTTGCCGGTTTCCCACTCGGTTCCCCCAAGAGCGCGGAAGGACAAGTCATTTACCCATCACACAGCTTAATGATCGCTCAATTTACTGTCGGGGTCAGTGAGCTTCGGGAGCCCCAGTGAGTGTACAGCTAATCAGAAGTGACAGCCTTCCCGCGAAGGCATTCTGTAATTTGATTTACACTTCACACTGCTGTCCTCCGCCATTAACTGCATCAAGTGTGTCACTTTTATACACACACACACACGCGTGCACACACATACACACACACAAACACACGCGCACACATCCCTCCTCTTCTCCACGTCCTCCAGACAAACAGAAAGAGAGGGTTTGTTTCTTTTTTGCTTCTTTCTTTTGGAAGGACCACAAATTGGCTGCAGCTTTTCTTTAAAAAAATAACAATAATCACGTCTTCGAGACGTCTCAAAAGCGTTTCGCGGGACACACTGTAAAGTGAACTGACTGTGTACTTTGTGGGGGAAACGCAGCAGCCGATTGTGCACAGCAGCGTCCCCACAAACAGCCGTGGGTATAGTCAGCCAATTATTGTTTATTACCCCCGGAAAGCAATCCGCCACTCCACTAACGGCTGGGTTCCTCCTGATTGCTTGCGAAACAGAGGCGTGTGTGTGTGTGGGGGGAGTAGGGGAAACTTGCCTAAGGTTTCGCCCCCAACCCGCCCGGGAATCAAACCCAGATCCTCTCGCTTGCGAGGCGAGAGCGCAAACCACTTACGCAGCAGGAATCCACCGGTAATAGACAGAGAATCACAGCCGCCCTTTTCCCTATCGTCCCCGTGCGAAAGTCATCGACCATCATCGACCCTGTGCACTCGGTCTCCCTGTTTCTATCTACTCTGACAGCCACAGCCACCAAAAATAGCACCATCACTTTCACAACTTTAATTATGTATAACTCTTTCGCACAGAGAATAGCGAGAACCTGGGGCTCATTTGCCGTCTGGGGCCCAAGCAAAGGATTGCGATGGTTTCCTCATGATAATATAATATAATAATAATCCTTACGTTTGACCCGGCGCCTCATCACGGGTCTTCGGGACGTTCTCAAAGCGCTTCACGGGACACGCGGTGAAGTGGAGTGGCCGTGTGTTTTGTGGGCGAAAGGCGGCAGCCGATCGTGCCCAGCAGCGTCCCCACAAACAGCCGGGGGTTGAGTGAGTGACCAGATTTTTATTTGAGGGATTATTACCCCCGGAAAGCGATCAGCCAATCGACCTACGGCTCGGTAAACAGGCGCGTGTGTGTTTGTGGGGAGTAAGGAAACCTGCCTGAGGTTTCGCCCCGACCTGACCCGCTCGGGAATCGAACCCGGGTCCTCTCGCTTGCGAGGCGAGGGCTCTAACCCCTGAGCTACAGGACTTCCTTGAAAAAATAAGAGAGGCGCACACTGGAACCTCACCGGAGCTGATGTCAAGCCGCAGCCTGAAGATTGAGTGCTTTGCCACAGTCATTGGGAGATGAAATTACAGCCTCGAATTCACCCCCGAGGAATCTACCCGTGAAAAGTTAGGTCGAGTGCCCTTGGGTCCTGTGAAGTGCGTCTCTTCACAAGGCTCCCTCCTCTCTCTACCTGCCTCGCTTGCGATCAGCTGGCTCGGGCCTCCTGCTTGTCCCTCCGCTCCCTCCCTCCCTCAACCCCAAGCCCCACGCCACCCCCCCCCCCCCCTCCCCGCACATCTTCACATCACACCAGTCATTGGGGGGCAGGGAATCCTCCCCCTCAGCTCCTGTGTGTTGACTCCGCAGCCAAAGCCCTAACTAGCGGGGAGGGAGGTCCCAGTAGGACAAGCAGCGGGAACGCTTGGCCCGACAGCGACATCAGTGGCTGAGCTGTGCAGGTTTTAGATGGTTATTACCAACAAAACCCCCAAGTCAGACAGTTCTGCTCACCGCCGAACTGTTGTCGTTGCTGTGCGCACATTAGCTGCTGTATTTGCCTCCCAAGTGCACAATACACCGCACTTAATGGGGCGTGAGAAGCTTTTGAGATATTTCGACGACATGAAAAGGCTGGGCGTCAAGCGCAAGGCTTTTTTTTATTATCCTAATAACAAGACTCACGACTGTTTGCCGGGGGGGAAAGCGTCTCGATTGTTTCAGAGGCCTGCGGAGGAGAAAAGAGTTTTGCAATAAATGTTTGCCTGGTCTTGAAATATAGGACAATGTCCCTTTAATTCCGTGAGTGTGTGTGTGTGAGACTGACACACGTACTAAGGGTTAACTGAATATGTTTTTGAGATCTCTTATCAGTTAATTAAAGGCTTCATTTAAACAGGTTTAGTCACTGGGTCGACTAATGGCTGTGACATATGGGTTCAGGGAAGTCCTGCAGCTCAGTGGTTAGAGCCCTCGCCTCGCAAGCGGGAGGACCCGGGTTCGATTCCCGGGCGGGTCGGGGCGAAACCTTAGGTAAATTTCCTTACTCCACCCACGCGCACGCACACGCACACGCGTGCCTCTGTTTACCCAGCAGTAAGTAAGGAACACGGTTGAAGTCGATTGGTGTTTTTTTCTGAGGGTAATAAATCCTCCAAAACAAACAAAAAAAATCCGGTCACTCAATCCACGACAGCTATAATAATAATATAATCCTTTGCATTTGATATAGCACTTTTCACGTCGGGAGGACGTCCCAAAGCGCTTCACAGAACACACTGTAAAGTGAATTGACTGTATATTTGTGGGCGAACGCGGCGGCCGATTGCGCACAAAAGCTGTGCGCAATCGGCTGCCGCGTTTCGCCCGCAGAACACAGTCACTACACCGTGCGGTGTATTCTGTGAAGCGCTTTGAGACGCCTCGAAGACGCGATAAGGCGCCGCGTCAAATGCTAAGATGATTACCGTTGCTGTAACAATACCTCAGAGAAGTACAAGGGCAAAGGCCACGACTTGTGCGAGCGGCTGTCAGTCCGGCGGAAGGCGAACGAGATGGACTTCGGTCCTCTCCCCGCCAGCAAAACCCCCTCTGCCCCTCAGTTCGCTGCAGGACGGTTCTTGGAAACCTGAGTTAATTGGAGGGTTTCGCTGGAGGATGGGAACAGCTGCTAAAATGTAGTGGGTCTTCTGGCGTCTGTGCCTCGCTCTGATACGAGGCAGCTGGGACGCCACAGTCCGGTGGTTGAAACCATAAAGCGACTGAACAATAAACCGTGCCGTCGTCAGGAGGCTGGCGACAGGTGTGTCGGGCTCTGGCGTCGCGCGCGCGCGCGTGTGTGTGTGTGTGTGTGTGTCACGTGGCTATGGTTTGCAGTCGCACACAATACGAGGAGGCTCGTCTTGCCTTGTTCTGAGCTTTTACGTAATATTATAATAATAATAATAGTAATAACCCCGGCACGCGATACAGCCCCTTGTCGCGCCTTCGGGACGTCTCAAAGCGCTCCGCAGGACGCACCGGAAAGCGGAGGAGTGACTTGTGTGTTTTGCGGGCGGCAGCCGATGACGCCCAGGGCGTAATAATATGTTCATCATATTAAAAGAAAAGAAAAAAAAAAGCGGATCCGCCAATCGAGATGTTACGTTTATTGTCGACGGACTGACATCCGTCATCCGGGCACTGACAGCTTGAGAATAAAAAATGCCTGTAAATGCGACCGGATTAAACCGTTTACGAGCAGTTTTACTGGGAGCGGTGCTTACGAGCGAAAGTTCAGTCAAAATGCCACACTCGAGCTCTCTGGAGCTCGGGGAGGAGAGAGGAGGGGAGGGGAGGGGGAAAAAAAAAAGAGGTCGACTTAGTGAGCGATGGGAGGCCGGAGGGGTTTACTAATTTACACACTGGACAGAGATGGTTTTCTCCCCATTGTTGTTGTTGTTGGGTTTCTTTTTAACCGAACGGTGGTTCAGAGCGAAGAGTCGTGTGTGTCGGCTCTCGGCTCAGACGGCAGCATTCCTTCCTTATTATTATTATTATTATTATTATTATGAGTCAGTTTCCTCACTCCTCACACGGGGGCCTCTGTTTATCAGCAGTAAATCAGAACCCGCTCGTGGGTCGATTGGCTTTTCCCGGAGTAATAATCCCTCCAGAAAAACAGAAACGATTAATAATTGGGTCCCTCGAATCCACGGCTGTTTGGGGGGGGTGGGGGGGGTGGGGCAAAAGACACAGTCACTGCACTTTACCGTGTGTCCCGTGATGCGCTTTGAGACGTCTCGAAGACGCGAGGATTGTTATCGTTAGTGATGTTATCATTCTGGAACTCCATCCCACAGTCCCTGCGCCTCGCCCCCTCCCTCGCCTCCTTCGAGACCCTCCCACCCCCCCCCCCCCCCCCCGCCCCCGGCTCGGGCTCGGACCCCAGACTGTCCAGCGCCGTGTAAATGTCACTTGCTGTTGTGGTGAACCGGTTAGCGAGGGAGCTGCTCCCGCCGGGCGTGGAAGGGACTGGCCTGCACCCGGGAAGCACACGAACAATGCGGGGAGGCAGAGCAGAGCAGAGCAGAGCTGGGCTGGGATGGGCAGGGCTGGGCAGGGATGGGCAGGGCTGGGATGGGCAGGGCTGGGCAGTGCTGGGCAGTGCAGGGCTGGGCTGGGCAGGGCAGGGCAGGGATGGGATGGGATGGGATGGGCAGGGCTGGTCAGGGCTGGGCAAGGCAGGGCTGGGCAAGGCAGGGCTGGGCAGGGCAGGGCAGGGCAGGGCTGGGCAGGGATGGTGTCGGTTTGCCGTGGCCATATATAGCAGGAGCAGGGAACAGCTGGGTGGGAGATGGAAGCCAGAAATACAAGCTCACACCCCTCCCTCCCTCTCTCTCCCTCTCCTTTTTGGCTCGTGGTTCCGATTCTTTTTTAGACTCAGCTCAGTGGTTCGAGCCGCTCGCCTCGCAGGGCAAGCGGGAGGACCCGGGTTCAGTTCCCTGGCTGGTCAGGTCGGGGCGAAACTTACTCCCCCCCTACCCCCGTCCCCCCTCCCACACACCCACCCACACCAGTGCCTCTGTTTACCAGCAGTCAGTAGCTCCGCTCTGGTCAGTCGATTGGTGGATCGCTTTCTGGGGGTAAATAATTTGGTCGCTCCACTCCACGGCTGTTTCTGGTTCCCCGCCGCGCGCAGTTGGCTGCCGCGTCTCGTCCACTCAATAAATACAGTCACTACACTTCACAGTGCATCCCGTGAAGGGCCCCCGGGATGGGGATGAGGCGTTCTGTCAAACGCGATCGGACGGACGATTGTTGTTTTGAAAAGCGCTTTGCAAACGTCAAATTTGAGACCATCCGGACCTTCCTTCAGCGCTGCACAGAGATGGAGGTACATATATAGGGCCCTCCATATAGGGCAGCGTCGCAGAGCACTTAACAGACTCCGAGCCTGGGGGGGGGGGAGTAGAGTGGGGGGAGTAGGGGGGGGGGAGTAGAGTGGGGGAGTAGGGGGGGGGAGTAGGGGGGGGGGAGTAGAGTGGGGGGAGTAGGGGGGGGAGTAGAGGTGGCTGTGGGCTGTGCTGTGTTAAAGCTTTTTATCTGCCTCAGCGACTTGGGGTGGAATCAGCGTCTCCTGCAGCCAAGAGAAATGTTTCAGAGGTTTCTCCAGAGACTCAGTTCGGCATCCGTCGTCATAAATCCATCAGCACCACCCCCACCCCCCCCCACCCCTCCCCCCCCTCTCTCTCCCCCCCCCCCGAGAGCTTACTGGAGCAGACTGTTCAGGAAATGTCAGGTTTCCTGGTTTTGCGTCAGGAGAATCCAGATGTTTTGGCCATTTCTAACCCCCCCCCTCCCCCCCCAGCCCCCGCCCCTCGCTGGCAATCCAGAAGCTATAATAATATTAATAATATTAATAATAATCCTGGCATCTGATACAGCGCCGCCTCATCTGCTGAACCTACGAGGTTCGGTCACCCCCCACCCCCGCCCCCCCCCCCCCGCCCTACCCCAGGCTCAGGATCAGACTCTTATCACTGTTAAACTCTCCAGGACACTACCACCGTGTAAGTGCACGTTGTCGTTGCCGCCGGGGCTGGGATTCCCGCCCTGTAATGGTTTGCAAGTGAGTTTGGAGTTTCCAGGACCGAAGTCTTACGGGGGAATTGTTTCTGTTTTTCAGTTCGCCTCCACGACAGCATATCAGAAGAGGGATTCCATTACCTCGTCTTCGACCTGTGAGTACCCCCTCAGCCCCACTGACAAACAGCAGCAATACACCCGGCGTTCGACCCGGCGACGAGACGTCTCAAAGCGCCTCACGGGACGCACTGTAAAGTGACTGTGTGTGTGTTTTGTGGGCCGGGGACACGGCGGCCAATTTGCGCACCGCGAAGAGAGGCAGGAAATCGCTCTCCCTCCTGCGATCCGCTGCCTGGTGTCCCCCCCCACCCCCACCCCCTCCGCCTGTTGCTGATGGTAAACCCCGCTCAGGGATTAAACACCGCAAGGCAGGGCTTTAGTTGTCGTGTTCCGCCGGATCTCGGAGACCCTGAACCACGCACATGTCTCCTCGTTAGAACCCACAGCCCGTGTTCAGACACACAGCGTGAGGGTAATAATAAAAATAATACTAATAATCCCTGCGTTAAAGCCCAGGGCTTAATCGTCGTCGTCGTCGTCAGGTTTCCGTTCGATGCAGCGCCTCATCCCGTTGTTCAGACGTCGCAAAGCGCTTCGCGGCGTTTCCTTGGAAAGTGTAGTGACTGTGTGTTTGTGCGGGCGAAACGCGGCAGCCAATTGTGCAGTCGACTAACAACCGGGTTCCTGCTTACTGCTGGGTAAACAGAGGCACGCGTGTGTGTGCATGTGTGCGTGTGTGTGTGAGTGTGTGTATGAGTGTGTGTGTGTGAGTGTGAGGACTGAAGCCGCAGCCTCGCGGCTCGGAGACGAGTTTGGCAATTAACCCCCAGCGCCGGCTGACACCTGACTGTAGATCGTGGTGGTGGGGAAGGGGGAGGGGGGAAGAGGAGAGAAGAGAAGAGTACGAATTGCGTAAGCGATTGCTGGAAATACACCTGTGAAGATTCCTCCCACACTTCACCCGGACTGAGCGCTGCCGGGAATGCCTAATTATAGCCCACTCTCCGCTTCTCCATTCCCTCGTTTGTCAAACCGCAGTGTCCTGTGGGTATACTCCTGTGCGGTGGAGTTTTAGACGTAAGAGGTGCGGCGCCCGGGAGGACCTTCCACCACAGACAACTAACGACCCTGACAACTAACGACTAACGACCCGGACTGCTTGTCCGGCTCGGACCCCCCTCCCCGTTAGTTAGTTAGGGCTTTGGCTGTAGGGTTAACACACAGGAGCTGAGGGGGAGGATTCCCTGCCCCCCGGTGACTGGTCGGTCCTTCCAGGTGCTGCCGACGAGCATTTATAGAAAAAACTCCACGACTGTCCGTGGAGACGCTGCTGTGCGCAACTGGTTGCCATCTTTCGCCCACAAAATATACAGTCACTACATTTACACTGTATTCTGTGAAGCGCTTTGAGAGGTTGCACCGACCTGATAAGGCGCTGTGTCAAATCAAGGTTTCTTATCATACTGTAAGTGTAGTGACTGTGTATTTTGTGGGCGAAACGCGGCAGCCAATTGCGCACAGCAGCGTCCCCCACAGACGGCCGCGGATTCAGTGACCAAATTATGATTAGTGGTGGGTTTTTTTTTTCTTGGAGGGATTATTACCCCCGGAAAGGCGATCCCCCCCCCAATCGACCAACAGCCGGTCAGCTCACCACAAAGTGTAGTGACTGGTGGGATTCGTGTCCGCTTCCCAAACAGTGTACAAAATAATTTAACTTTACACGCGCATTCGTTCCTCTCCCGCAGGGTGACCGGGGGTGAGCTGTTTGAAGATATTGTGGCCAGAGAATATTATAGTGAAGCAGATGCAAGGTATGTCCTACGCCTGTTCCCCTGCTCTCCCGCGAAGCACACTCATTAGGTTAGTTGTCGGGAGTTACCGTGGTTTAACGCAGCCCACGGTGTGGTGACTTGCGTACACGAGGATAGCGGTTCACTGATTCTACAGTAAACGTCTGATAACTCGACCCGGGCTCAACCCGTCGCTCCCGCTCCAGCCATCGTGCTGTCAATATCTCGGCCCCGTTGGTTCGTGTCATTTGTACGTAAACTGATAATAATCAATCGCGCCGTCGAGACGTCTCAAAGTGCTTCACAGGATAGACTGTAAAGTGTGTATTTTGTGGGCGAAAGGCGGCAGCCGATCGCGCACAGCGGCGTCTCCCACAACGACGAGGAAATTACATTTTGTGCGGCACTCCCCACGTCGGGAGGACGTCCCAAGGCGCCGAAGTCATTCGGTTTGGGTTATGTAACATATGAACACTTAACGTCTAAATAATAAGTACACACAGCCCGGATATCGACAGCGCGGAGACTGAAGTAGTAACTAAATGAAATGCATCCACTCTGGATTACTCTTCGCTTTTGGGTTGAGGTGACGCGTGATCTGGCGTTCAGCGTCGTCGCAGTTGGCCGGTGATCTTTTGCCGACTGATATTGTGGGCGAAGTTAAATGTGCGGCCAATTAAACCTGAGGCGTCCCGATTCTGGTGCGCACCGGCGGCAGTCAGGCGCAAACAGTTTAGCTTTACTGTTGAGTCCCGTTTGTTTCAGTCCCTCCCGGCAGGAGAGGGGCTGCGATCGGTCTCCTCGGAGCAGACAAGGTTCAGGGGAAGATCCCCAGGGGCTTTTCTTTCCGTGTATTTCGGAGGCCAATTTGGAGCCGTGAAGCAAGTGAGGAATTTTCTTTGGGGAGGGGAGGGGGAGGATTGCTGGCCAGGACACCAGGAGAGAGAATCTCCTCCTAAACAAGAGTAATAATAATAAGAGATAAAGAAGTCTGTAATCCCCGAAATCTAAAGCTGTGCATTTATAGATATATATTCCTCTTTCTCTATATATAATATATAGAACCTAAAAGAGAGGATATTCCAGTATCTTTGCAACGCCAATGAAATTTAGGCCTTAATACCACCGAGTCACTCGTTGCAAATGTTTGTTTGTTCCAACTATAAACCGTGTTCGTTGTGAGTAACAGCAGCGAGACAGAGATGGGTTTAACGTTGGCTGGGAAGGGTCGAGGCGAGTTGTGTGCTTTCTGTTACCGAGATCACTGGGCCAAGAGGGGAATCCGCAATAGTCATTATTCTTCAGGGTGGAGGGGTGGGCTGTGGGGGGGAGAGGACCTTGTGCTCGTGTGGAGGAACTTAGCGTCTTGTGGGCACTGTGTTTTTATCTGTTGTGCAAGATGTTTGTGAAATGTGCGGCTTTTCTGGAAGAGGGACACGAGTGAAGACTGTCGTTGGTTGTGAAAAGACGGCTGTGGATTTGGGGTAAAAGCCCGTAATTGAGCCCCTCCGTTTGCCCGGGAGCCTCGCGCGAGGTCCTTTTCCCGCTGCCGTTCCCTTTGCAGAGAACCGCACGTGTGGTTTCAGGGAAACGGAGCCATGTGCCGACAACAACAGTAATAATGACAGTAATCGCGAGGTGTTCAATTACGTGTCTAACCTGAATCTCATTCTCTTGTCTATTCTGAAACAGTCTCTATATGTCAGCGTTGACGTGTTTCGTTTCCTACATCTTGGCTTCTGTGACGTTCGTTTTCCGTGCTTTTCTAACTCTCCTCGTCTACAGTAATTTTTTTCTCCCCCACCCCCCACCCTCTCCCCCCCACCCCACCCGCCCGCCCGCCCGCCCCCTCCCACACAACCTCCGGCCCTCGGTTTAAACAAATTGTGAGTAAACTAGCAATGAAGGGTGAAGGACAAGGTAATTTCTGACGAGGAAGGTATTGCTTCAGAAAAGGGCTCTTTCCGCGGTCATCAAAAGACAAATATAGAAAGAGCTCAGCGGTGCGGACAGAGAAACAATACAAACTTATGTTTATTCAACGCCTTTCACGTCGGGAGGATGTCCAAAGGCGCGTCACTATCCTGGCGAAGGGACGTTAATTTGGCCAATCGGATAACTCAATAATAATTCAATAACCATCCTCAAAGCGGGTCCAGCGCCTCTCGCGTCGGGAGGACGTCTCGGACGGCTTCTAAGAGGGTTGGTGAAGTGCAGCGACTCGCGCGTACGTTAAAGGGCAGATCGCAGCAGCCAGTTGTGTCGTGTTGAGGGTCACCAATTCTGGTCCCACCTGGGGTTTAAATATCAAATAATGGCCCTCGCATTCGGTACAAATTGTCAGGGCCCCGGGGTAAGACAGGGGTGGGGGGGATCTTTTTTTTTCTGTGCTGCAAGATTCTCTGAGTCTGTGACCCCCGCCGGCCATGAACCGCCATAAATAATCATTTGGTTGCAGACAGTAATTGCAGTTTGAGATGTCTTCGTAGCGATTGTTCACAAGTTCAGGCAAAGTGCACTTAACGCGGCGAAGCTCACCATCGATCGAGTGGCGTTTCTGGGTTGAGACACTGGCTGCTTGCGCACCCGACAGAGAGAAAGGTTCTCGTTAAAACTGGTCAGAAATTACCTTCGCGAGCGGTTTCTGTCGGTCTCTACCCCCCCCCCCCCCCCCCCCCGGTGCTCCTGTTTCCTCGACTGTGATATTTCCCGCGACAGAGGGAGAGAGAGAGAGAGAGAGAATTGCGATTCGAGAATCTGCGTCCGGGCGTGTGTTTGCGCGGCGGGTTTACACGGCACCGCTCTCGCCAGGCGGAGCAAGCGTCACGCGAGAGAGACAGAGAGAGAGAGAGAAAACTGTTCTTTTTTTTTTCCTAACTCTGCGAATGGTTACTCGTGTCCTCATTTTCACAACATTCACTAGTCCTTTGGTTCTTCCCTTCCTTTCCCTCTCCTTTCCCCCTTCCCTCCCTCCGTCCCTCTCCCCCCTTGTCTCTCTCTCCCCTTGTCCTCCCTTTGTTTTTTTTGCAGTCACTGTATCCATCAGATTCTAGACAGTGTAAATCATATTCACCAACATGATATAGTGCACAGGGACTTAAAGGTCAGTATTTTTCTCCGCAAATGCAAGACAAACAAAGAGCGAAACAAAGTAGAGAGAGAGAGAGAGAGAGAGAGAAAAAAAAAAGATTTGCTTGAAATGAAAAGATCACGGCAGATGCACAAACCCGTTCATTATACGTTGTCCTTGTTTTTTTTTTGGCGTCTGGTTTTATTTTTTGAGATGTGTTCTTGCATGTGCTGTCACCATCATTTACCCACCACCCGCCCTCCTCCCAGTCCTCGCCAGCTCTTCCCCCACTCTCTCTCCCCCCCCCCTCCCCCCCCCCCGACCACCACCCCCTCAAAAACAAGTCTCTTGGGTTATAAGCCGTGACAGAGAGCCAAAAGAGCGCACGCAAAAGTAATTAGAGAATCGATGAAGTCCCAGTCCCGCTCACCAAAGCCTTTGGGAGACCAGGAGAGCGGAACTCAAATAGCAGCAAAAAAACCCCCCCCAAGAAATTCACATCATCTCAGTCCGTTGCTTTGTTACATCTGTTAAAAAAAAAATTGGGGGGCAGGGGGCAGGTTTGTTACTCGCCCTTACCCCCCCCCTCCCACTCCCCCCACGCACACGCGACCTGCTTCTGGTTTCTGTCATGTTTTATAGCTCTTGACAACAGTTACTTGAGAGACGCACAGACTGGTTTCTGGCCGAGGCAAAGGGTGACCTCCCCACACGCGCACACTGCACGCTCTTTACTGCCGAGCCGGGCCGATAAACAGGTACCACACTGAGCCTGAGGTCAATGGTCGTTGTTGAGTATGTTTGTGGGTTGGGAGAGCATTGACCTTATGGCTGGTTGGGGAGATGGTGGGGTGGGGGGGGGTCATTGTTAATGCTATTTCTTTGAAGGACAGTGCTAATAATCCAAAGCCCCATCAGTATTGGTATCCCAAACCTTGTCCTCTCGATGCAGTGGAAATACATTCAGCCAAGTAGTAAATCAGAACAATAATCCTCGCATTCAGTACAGCGCCTTATCACGTCTTCGAGACGTCTCAAAGCGCTTCACGGAATATACTGTAAAGCAAATTGACCGTACGTTCTGTGGGCGAAAGGCCTCAGCCAATTGCGGACAGCACTTGTGGATTAAGTGACAAAAAAGCACTCTTAAGGCACTGCTCCCTTCAATATTCAGGGGGAAAAAATTATAAAGAGAGATTGTCAACTGGCAGTAAAGTGTGTATGACAGTCCACAAACTGAACAGGACAGTCAATGTCTGAAGGACTGAGCAAACCGGTGGGGACACAGACACCAAATGATGTTTGAAGAAAAAAAGACAGTGGCTCCTCAATTCAATTTTTGTTCCAATTTTGGTCCAAATAAAAATGGCAGCTGTGATGGCGGAGCTTAACATGGGATTTATTTTTCTTTTAGGCGCAGATATATTTAAAGCTTAAGTTTATGAAAGTAGGAAAGCCGGCTTCAGGGATAACCTTGTCTGGCTTTTCCTGTCAGGAAGTGAAGGGAAGGAGGGTTAGGCTTTCCTTTCCCAATAACCCAAGGCTCGAGTGACAATGCCAAGAGACTTGTCGCGACCCAACAACAAATTGCATTTACGCAGCGCCTCTCATGTCGGGAGGACATCTCAAGGCTCTGGATAGTCAAGGATTTGCACCCGAGCTGGAGGTTGGGATCAGGAGGGGTGGAGGGTGATGGTAGAAGAGGAATATCTTGAGGATATAAAGCGGGAGAGGGCAGAGAGGCACAAGGATGGAGGCAGAAGGGCTGAAGGGCGAAGGACATGGAGTTGAGAGGTTGACAAGGATTTAGGTGCAGGTGGTGTGGACGGGTCACAAAGTGATAACACCCAATCCCTGCAATTTGACACAAAACCTTATCACGTTGTCGAAATGTTCTCAAAACAAAATTTGCAGTAAAGTGCGATGAATGGACCGGGGGGGGCGGCGGCGCGGGGTGGGGGTGGGGGGGGAACAGAGTCAGAATCAGAAGAGTTTTTTTTTTGCTGCTCGCCGTGCGGGGTGTCTTGCTTCGCCCCGGCGCAGGGTGAACCCCAAAGCGGTCATCTCTCTTCGCACGTTAAAAGAGAACAACCCCCGTTCGGAGTCTCTCCGCGGCCGTCTCGCTCGAGGCGGCCGACCGACCGCCGGAAAGGGTTCGATCCCATCACATCGGCCTCGAAAAAAAAAAAAGAGTCCCCCGTTGTCCGGAGCCGACTCGGACTGCGTCGGGTTGAGGGGTCACACTTTGCCCTGGTCTATCCCCCCCCCCCCACCCCAACCCCCCCCCCACACCCCACTTCCCCCTCTGAGACATGATGTAGAGTGCACCAGTCTGTGCTGTATGAGACTCACCTGCAACTAACACGCCCCCTGGTGTTTGCATGCAGTCATTGCATCCAACAGATCCTGGAAGCTGTGCTCCATTGTCACCAAATGGGTGTTGTTCACAGAGACCTGAAGGTGAGTTTTACTTTGGCAAAGATCACAAGAGTGTAACCCGAGGCAGTGTGTGTAGTTATTAACCTCCTCCTCCCCCTCAACCCCCCCCCCCCACCCACCCACCCCACCCGCCTCCCCCCTCCCCAACCCCGTACTTCTACATCCTCGCAGTTTAGACCATTTCCAATGTTCCCCGCTGCCGTGGGAGATGGTCGTTTTGACGTCCCCCCCGTCCCCCCCCGTCCCCCTCCCCGGGTCAAGAGCGACCTTCAAGCCGCGCCGCCTCCGCTCACGCGCACGAGTCCGTCGCCATGAAAACGCAAGTAACCCCCAAAGCGCTTCAGGTTTGTGACAATCCCTGCGTCGGACCGACCGGGGCCTCGTCGCCTCTCCCGAGACGTCCCGGAGCGCGTCACAGAACGCAGCGTAAAGCAGTATTACACACTGCACCGCCGAGATTTTATTCGGGACTGAGGTGGACAGAGCTGTTGGCTCGGGGGGGGGTGTCGAGGGACATGAGGTACACATCAGCCGTGGTCTGATGGAACGGGGCAACAGGCTCGAGGGTCTGGGTGGCCTCCTCCGGGCGAATCGGGCCACCAGTTGCGCGCAGCAGTGTAGGCAGCGTCAGGCAGTTCCAACTTCACCTCCGCGCAAAGATTTATTCTCAGAGCCGCTCCAGTTCCTTTTGCAACGATTCGTGGAAACAATCCATTCCCCCCCCCCCGCCCCCCCGCCCGCCCGCCACCCATACTCGTGTCAAAAAAATGACCATCTCCCTCCAGCGTGGCTGAAAGTTAGTCAGGTTTGCAGACACTCGAGTGCATGTGTATCTTGACTTGCAAATGCTGCGGACAGTGCGATGCGCTGGGATGGGGCATGGCTCGACTGGATGACGGAAAGTGCTTGCGACTCGTTGTTTGCCTGATTATTTTTCTCCCTTTCCTTCCTCAAAACGCCGGCAAAACGTATGGCCCCGGTTTCATGCACATCCACTGCGAGCGTACGGCCACTAAAAACCAGACTCTCAAAAGCAACCGTCTCGACGGCGGGAAAGCTGACCCGATTTATTGCAAAATTACATTTGGTCGGAAAGCAGTGCTGAAGTGTCCCAACGGGTAGAATTTGGGGCTTGGGGGGTGCGTAAACCCTCATCCGCCCTTCCCCCCCCCCCACCCCCACCTGAACAAACGATCGATTGGATAGAGAGAAGTCTCAGCTCGGATTCGGATCACCTTTCGAGTCCGCTCGAGAGTGATGAGAGACTTGGCGTCCGCCCGCCCGTCCGTCCGTCAGCTGCGCGTCGCTGTTCGTAGATTCGCAAAGGGTCTTAGATGAGGTTTATTGACGAGTGTTGACCAACTTGTGGTCACGGCTCCGCCAGAGTTCGCTGCAGGTCAGACCAGCAACAAAAAAAAGAACCTTTAAGCCAATAGTCTCAAGGGGAAGACCATGAGAAATTTGGGAGATCGTTCACCCCACCCCTCGCACCATTGGTGTCTTGAACAACGAGGCTTTGGCAACGACAAACCTATTTGTTGGGGGGTTTTGGTCATCAATTTGTGGGAGACGGAAGTGATGCAAACAGAGAAACGAGCCATTCAGCCCCATCGTATCTCACTGTTCTCCCCCCAAACCCAGGACCCAAAGATTGGCAGAGAGAGACTTCCCCTCGGACTCTGAAAGAGGAGAGAGTTAGCAGTAGCTCAGGGATCCGAGCGCTGTTTCTGTGTATTCAGACCCTAACGGTGGTGTTTTTTTTCCCCCAACGCCAACACCACCGCCCGCGCACACAAAGCCCGAAAATTTGCTTCTCGCCAGCAAATGCAAAGGAGCTGCGGTGAAACTGGCCGACTTTGGTCTGGCTATCGAGGTCCAAGGAGAACAGCAAGCGTGGTTTGGTGAGTCACCGGCTTTTATTTCAGTGGCTTTACTGTCCCCGTCCGTACCTGTGCAGCTCGCGATGTTATTTATAGCCCCTTATGTTGTTGAGACATCTCAAAGCCCTTCACAACATATATTGCGAAGCGAATCGACTGTCTTTTGTGGGCAGAACGTGATAGGCAATGAACTGTCCCACAAACCGTCCTGGATTGAGTGACACAATTGATGTTCTGTTTTTGGAGGAAAGGGGGGGTTCGGGAAGAGGATTGGGGGTTCGGAAAGGGGGTTCGGGAAAGAGGATTAAGGTTTGGGAAAGGGGGATTGGGGAAGAGGAATAGGGGTTCGGAAAGGGGGTTCAGGAAAGAGGATTAAGATTTCAGAAAGTGGGATTCGGGAAAGAGGATTGGAGGGTTCGAGAAGATTAGGGGTTCGGAAAGGGATTGGGGAAGAGGATTGGGGGTTCGGAAAGGGATTGGGGAAGAGGATTGGGGGTTCGGATAGGGGGGTTGGGGAAGAGGATTAGGGGTTCAGGGAAGAGGATTAGGGGTTCGGAAAGGGGGTTCGGGAAGAGGATTGGGGTTCGGAAAGGGGGGTTGGGGAAGAGGATTAGGGGTTCAGGGAAGAGGATTAGGGGTTCGGAAAGGGGGTTCGGGAAGAGGATTGGGGGTTCAGAAAGGGGGTTCGGGGAGAAAGATTAGGGGTTTGGAAAGGGGGGAATTGGGAAGAGGATTGGGGGTTCGGGGAAGATTAGGGGTTCAAAAAAGGGTCGGGGAAGAGGATTAGGGGTTTGGAAAGAGGATTAAGGGTGCGGAAAGGAGGGTTCGGGAAGAGGATTGGGGGTTCGGAAAGGGGGTTTGGGGAAGAGGATTGGGGGTTCGGAAAGGGGGTTCGGGGAAGAGGATGAGGGGTTCAGGAAGAAGATTAGGGGTTCGGAAAGGGGGTTCGGGAGAGGATTAGGGGTTCAGAAAGGGGGTTCGGGAGAGGATTGGGGGTTCCGAAAGGGGGTTCGGGAGAGGATTAGGAAATAGGATTAAGGGTTCGGAAAGGAGGGTTTGGGAAGAATAGAGGTTCGGAAAGAGATTGGGGAAGAGGATTGGGGGTTCGGAAAGGGGGTTCAGGAAAGAGGATTGGCGGGTTTGAGAGGATTAGGGGTTTGGAAAGGGGGTTCGGGGAAGAGGATTGGGGGTTCGGAAAAGGGGGTTGGGGTAGAGAAAATGGCGGTTCGGAAAGGGGGGTTTGGGAAGAAGATTGGGGGTTCGGAAATGGATTGGAGAAGAGGATTGGGGGTTCGGAAAGGGGGGTTCGGGAAGCGGACTCGGGGTTCGGATAGGGGGGTTGGGGAAGAGGATTAGGGGTTTGGGGAAGAGGATTAGGGGTTCGGGAAGAGGATTGGGGGTTCGGAAAGGGATTGGGGAAGAGGATTGGGGGTTCGGAAAGGGGGGTTCGGGGAGAGGATTAGGGGTTCAGAAGGGGGGGGTTCGGGAAGAGGATTGGGGGTTCGGAAAGGGGTTCGGGAGAGGATTGGGGGTTCGGAAAGGGGGTTCGGGAGAGGATTGGGGGTTCGGATAGGGGGTTTGGGAGAGGATTGGGGGTTCAGAAAGGGGGGTTTCGTGGAGAGGATTAGGGGTTCGGAAAGAGGATTGGGGGTTCGGAAAGGGGGGTTCGGGGAGAGGATTGGGGGTTCGGAAAGGGGGGTTGGGGAAGAGGATTGGGGGTTCGGAAAGGGGGGTTTCGGAAGAGGATTGGGGGTTCGGAAAGGGGGGTTCGGGGAGAGGATTAGGGGTTCAGAAGGGGGGGTTCGGGAAGAGGATTGGGGTTCGGAAAGGGGGTTCGGGAGAGAGGATTGGGGGTTTGGAAAGGGGGGTTTCGGAAGAGGATTGGGTGTTCGGAAAGGGGGTTCGGGGAGAGGATTAGGGTTCGGAAAGGGTTCGGGGAAGATTAGGGGTTCAGAAAGGGGGGGTTCGGGAAGAGGATTGGGGGTTCAGAAAGGGGGTTCGGGGAGAGGATTGGGGGTTCGGAAAGGGGGTTCGGGAAGCGGACTCGGGGTTCGGATAGGGGGGTTGGGGAAGAGGATTAGGGGTTTGGGAAGAGGATTAGGGGTTCGGGAAGAGGATTGGGGTTCAGAAAGGGGGGTTCGGGAGAGGATTGGGGGTTCAGAAAGGGGGTTCAGGGAGGAAGATTTGGGGTTCGGAAAAGGAGGTTTGGGAAGAGGATTGGGGGTTCGGAAAGGGAGTTCGGGAGAGGATTGGGGGTTCGGAAAGGGGGTTCGGAAGAGGATTGGGGGTTCGGAAAGGGGGTTTGGGAGAGGATTGGGGGTTCGGAAAGGGGGTTCGGGAGAGGATTGGGGGTTCGGAAAGGGGGGTTTCAGGGAGAGGATTAGGGGTTCGGGGAAGAGGATTGGGGTTCAGAAAAGGGTTGGGGAAGAGGATTGGGGGTTTGTAAAGGGGGGTTCGGGAAGCGGACTCGGGGTTCGGATAGGGGGGTTGGGGAAGAGGATTAGGGGTTTGGGGAAGAGGATTAGGGGTTCGGAAAGGGCGTTCGGGAAGAGGTTTGGGGGTTCGGAAAGGGGGTTGGGAAGAGGATTGGGGTTCGGAAAGGGGGGTTTCGGAAGAGGATTGGGGGTTCGGAAAGGGATTGGGGAAGAGGATTGGGGATTCGGAAAGGGGGGTTCGAGGAGATGATTAGGGGTTCAGAAGGGGGGGTTCGGGAAGAGGATTGGGGTTCGGAAAGGGCGTTCGGGGAGAGGATTGGGGGTTCGGAAAGGGCGTTCGGGAAGAGGATTGGGGGTTCGGAAAGGGAGTTCGGGAGAGGATTAGGGGTTCGGAAAAGGGTTCGGGGAGAGGATTAGGGGTTCGGAAAAGGGTTCGGGGAGAGGATTGGGGGTTCGGAAAGGGGGGTTGGGGAAGAGGATTGGGGGTTCGGAAAGGGGGGTTTCGGGAGAGGATTAGGGGTTCAGAAGGGGGGTTCGGGAAGAGGATTGGGGGTTCGGAAAGGGGGTTTGGGAGAGCATTGGGGGTTCGGAAAGGGGGTTCGGGAGAGAGGATTGGGGGTTTGGAAAGGGGGGTTTCGGAAGAGGATTGGGTGTTCGGAAAGGGGGTTCGGGAAGAGGATTAGGGTTTCGGAAAGGGGTTCGGGGAAGATTAGGGGTTCAGAAAGGGGGGGGTTCGGGAAGAGGATTGGGGGTTCGGAAAGGGGGGTTCGGAGAGGATTGGGGGTTCGGAAAGGGGGGTTCGGAAGCGGACTCGGGTTCGATAGGGGGTTGGGAAGAGGATTAGGGGTTTGGGGAAGAGGATTAGGGGTTCGGAAAGGGCGTTCGGGAAGAGGTTTGGGGGTTCGGAAAGGGGGTTCGGAGAGAGATTGGGGTTCGGGAGAGGATTGGGGGTTCGGAAAGGGGGTTGGGGAAGAGGATTGGGGTTCGGAAAGGGGGTTTCGGAAGAGGATTGGGGTTCGGAAAGGGATTGGGGAAGAGGATTGGGGATTCGGAAAGGGGGTTCGGGGAGAGGATTAGGGGTTCAGAAGGGGGTTCGGGGAGAGGATTGGGGGTTCGGAAAGGGAGTTCGGGAGAGGATTGGGGGTTCGGAAAGGGGGTTGGGAGAGGATTGGGGGTTCAGAAAGGGGGTTCGGGAGAGAGGATTGGGGGTTCGGAAAGGGGGGGTTCGGAAAGAGGATTAGGGTTTCGGAAAGGGGTTCGGGGAAGATTAGGGGTTCGATGGAAGAGGATTGGGGTTCGGAAAGGGGTTCGGGAGAGGATTGGGGGTTCGGAAAGGGGGGTTCGGGAAGGAGGATTGGGGGTTCGGAAAGGGGGGTTCGGGAGGAAGGGTTCGAAAGGGGTTCGGGAAGAGGATTGGGGGTTCGGAAAGGGGGGGGAGAGGATTGGGGGTTCGGAAAGGGGTTCGGGGAGAGGATTGGGGGTTCGGAAAGGGTTCGGGGTGGTGCTGGTTTGCGGTTGGAGCCGCCTCGGGAAAAAAAAAACAAAAAAAAAACACACGACTGTTCGTCGTCTGCGTTTGAAGCCTCGAAAGGTTGACATTCCAGACAATTTGCTTGTTTTACCTGCACTGTCCCGAGCTTCACCTTATCAGAATAGTCCTTCCACCTGACGGTGCCTCACGGCGTTCTCGGAACCCCTCGAAGCGCTTCCGCAGGGCTTTACCGCGAGGTGACGTTGTTGTTTAGTCAGAACGACAGCCCTTGCATTTGGCACAGCGCCTTATCACCTCATTGAGACGTCGCAAAGCGCTTCGCAGGATACGCTGCACAGAGGAGTGACTGTGTTTTGTGGGTGAAACAGGGCAGCCAATTGCACACAACCATTCTATATATATATATATAGTTAGTTATAGTTAGTTATTTATACATTTTATTTAGATATATTTTCAAACTATGTTATTACTTAGTTAGATATATTTTATAAATCTATTATTATTTAGATGTGTTTATAGATCTATTTATTTATACATTTTATTTATTTTTTAAGCATTTTATATATTAATTATACATGTGTTGCCATTTGCTGCCACGTTTCACCCACATGATACAGCCACTCCACTTTACAGCGTATTCTGTGAAGCGCTTTGGTACGTCCTCCTGACTTGAAAGATGCTGTACCTAATGTAAGTAATGTGTATTTTTTGGGCCAAAGAGTGGGTTGACTCTTGCATTTCTTTTAGAAAATAACATTATGGGATACAGTGCACAGGTAGTGCCGGGAAAAGAAGGCGAACAGACAAACCCTGGTCTTTTTTTCATCTGAAACAACAACAAATCGCACTTGTATCGCACCATTCATGTCGGAAGGACCTCCCGGGGCGCTGGACAATCAGGGTTTTGGACCCCGAGCTGGGAGTTAGGGTCAGAAGGGAGGAGGGGGCGGGAAAGTACAGTGGAAGAGGACGTCGAGCACTTCTTATGTTCTAATCTAATGTTTCCTTTGGGTTCCCCAGGTTTTGCAGGAACACCAGGTTACCTCTCCCCCGAAGTGCTTCGGAAAGAAGCTTATGGAAAACCAGTGGATATCTGGGCATGTGGTAAGTGGCCCGACGAGGCTCGGATCGATCTGGGTTGGTACACAGGCTCAAACACACACACACACACACACAATACAATTCCCTGCTGGATAATAATAATCTTTGCATTTGATATAGTGCCTTATCACATTGAGACAACAAATTACACTTGTATAGCAGCGCCCTTCACGTTGGAAAGATTTCAAAGAATGAATAGAATATATTCTAAAGTGGAGTGACTGTGTATTTCGTGGGCAGTTATACAGCACCCTTTATGCGGGGTAGCTCTCTGAGTGTTTAACAGAGTGGTTTGACGCCGGGGAGAGGGGAAGGTGACCAAAGGCACGGTTCCAAGACGAAGGTCCTTAGGTGCGATTTGAAGATGGCAAAGTGGGGGTGGGAGTGGCGGGGGGGGGGGGGCAAGACGAAGGGATTGAGGCAGGAAGCTGCAGAGATTCGGGCGTACTGTTATCTCTCTTAAAGAGCCGAAACTGAGAGTAACGTCAGCGGCACAAGAGATGTGGACAGTCTGGGCTGCCTCGGTGCCTCTCCCTTGCACAAAGTCTGAACAGGTCCATTGCCTTTCAAGCCGTTCTGTTGAATGATGCGAGACTTTTTCTCAAACAAAATTTGGTTTCCCTTTTCTCTTGCTGCAGGCCCCACACAATGGAGTAACTCGCTGGTTTCCTACCATTCTCACTCCCCACCCCCCAATCCCCCACTTACGCCCAACTCTTGCCCTGAGTATCAGAGTCGTTCCTCAATGGTTCTCGTGGTCCACGATGATCCGTCTTCTCTTGCTCCGTCACTTGCTCCAAGCTCTTATCCCTCACCTAATCTGCCCCACTCCACTTCCCGTCCCCCCCCATTTCTCCCAACCTGCCGGACGGACGCTTGCAGGTGGTCTCAAACCCTGGGACGAGACCAAAACCGGCAAGAATGGCGTCTGGGAGGTACAGCGAGAAAACAGCCATTGCTAGTGGACCTGCAGCAAAATAAAACCCCCCCCACCCACCCACCAGACAAATCATCACACAACTAACAGCTCACCAAAGCAATGAGATTGTCTGAGCTTTGTACAAGGAGTGCGGCACAGCACAGAGAAACAATACACGCAGCAGGAGCTTTGTGCTGCTGGTCACCTCGCTCTTTGTTCTGACAGTCACGTACACAGTCACTGCACTTTGCAGTATACCCTGTGAAGCGCTTTGAGACGTCTCAACGACATGATAAGGTGCGGAATCAAATGCAAGGATTATTATTGTTACATTGATATTGAGCTGCTGTTGGCTTGCTCACACCCTCCTCTATGTTTTACAGGAGTCATTCTCTACATCCTGCTGGTTGGATACCCACCTTTCTGGATGAAGATCAGCACAAGCTCTACCAGCAGATCAAGGCTGGCGCTTACGATGTACGTAAACCAAAAGCAACTTTTTGCCAGCGGCTATGCCATGTCTCGAGACGGACATCGGGACATTTCTGCTTGAAAACATTTAAGGGAAGGGATTTGAGTTCAGTATTTGCTCAACACACACACACACACAGTTGCTGCACTTTATAGTACGTCTTGTGAAGCTCTTTGGGACGTCATCCCGACTTGAAAGACTCTACAACTTACATTTATATCGTACCCCTCCCTCGCACAGAGTAGCATCCTAGAGGACTGTACTGTCTGTGTCTATCATTTGTAGATAAACCAATGTGTTGTGCCAAGACTTACCAGGAGTCCTGATGGTCACGCCCTTCTTAAGTGCCTTTGTGAAGCTGTGAAAGAAATCAAAGAGTAACGTTAAGATTCAGTAAGATTCTTTAGAGTTAAGTTTTCATCTCAAAGTCACGGTTTGGAGGCACATTTTTATTCCATCCAGGCCTGAGCTCTGAAAGCCACAAAGAGAGAGGAAGACATTGCAAGATACAAGTACAAGCAATTGCATGTTTTTTATCCGGTAGATATAATGCTAGGATTACGTCTCAAAGCATCTTACATCACTTTACTGTGGCTGTATTTCGTAGCCAGTTTGCTGAAAATTATTTTGTCCCGTTGCCATTAATAATGTGGTGTGTTTTTCTCCTCTCTCCCCGCTCTGCCACAGTTTCCTTCCCCTGAGTGGGACACAGTCACCCCAGAGGCCAAAAACCTCATCAACCAGATGCTGACCATTAATCCAGCCAAGCGCATCACCGCAACCGAAGCTCTCAAACACCCATGGGTTTGCGTAAGTGGCTGTCTGTGCACAACAACTAACTCTCATCCTTGGTGGAGGGGACGAGGAGGGAATTAGAAATAAACACATCCCATTGACAACACCACAAACATCAGCAATTATCTGAAACGCCACTTAAGATAACATTTCGTCGTGTGTCCCCCGCCCCGGCCGCTGGGCACTTGTGATGAAATTTCAGATAATAAGAGTTCCGAGGGAACTAAACAGTAGAACCAGAGGACACGGCCTGCAATTGAAGGGGGGGTTAATTCAAAACAAACCTGCACAGCAATACTTCCCTCGATAGTGAGCGAGTAGTCAACTTATGGAACAGCTTCCTTGGGAGACAGATGGTGGAAGCAGAAAGTGTTGATTGTTTCAAGAACAAATTAGATAAGATTTCAGTTAGGAAATAATAGAGGATACAGTATAGGACACGACATGCACAAGCGACTGCCAGGATGGTGGAAGGTGAACTAGATGAACCTTGGTCTTCTTTCGCCCCAGCAAGTTATTATGTTCTTATAAAAACTCACAGCACATGAAAATATATAACATCTACAGTACAAAAGACAGACCTCCTGTATTTTCAGGAGGGGAAACTGGTTAATGAACAGTGACAAACAAGTCATATACACGCATTCAATTCTGATGTTAAATATCCTAACATGGATTTTTCTTTAATATTTCAGCAACGATCCACTGTGGCATCTATGATGCATCGCCAAGAGACCGTAGAATGTTTGAAGAAGTTCAACGCCAGGAGAAAACTCAAGGTAAGAAACCAACCCTCTTGCATTTCTGTTAGTAACATGTACAACAATAATAATAGTTTGGTCACTCAATCCACCACTGTTTGTGGGACAATTGGCTTCCACGTTTCGCCCACAAAATACAGTCAATTCACAGTACATGGTGTGAAGCGCTTTGAGAAGTCTCAAAGACCTGATAAGACGCTATATCAAATGCAACAATCATCATTACAACACTTCCAGGTGTTTTTCAATGTGGCATAATTAATACAGTACAGATGTGAATGCTTTCAATAATAACATTTGTATCCTAGGAACTGCAGTGTTAGGGGGGGGAACATTTTAAAGGGTTTGACTGCAGCAACATTCACTGTATGTAACACACACATTTAAAAGGTTTACAATTCAACACATTTAAAAGGCACATCTCCAAGTATTTCAGTGTTTTTGCCAACTATTTCAAACACTTGTAGACATAGTATACAATATAACATCCATGTGTAGCATAGACCATTTCTTTGGTCAGCCGACATGCATCGCACCTTCACATATAACATATAACACATATATAACGGCATACATTATATAAAGGCAGACATTAATTATAGATTAATTGGGTACATCTCCAATTAACTCATCGACACATAATACCTTCAGAGACTCACATATAAAATATACATTCACATTTTTGGAATAACAAAACACATCTCATACCCAACATTCCTCTACTTTTGAAAGAACACATATCCTTAAGTTTTGAAACTTTACAGTGTATTTTGTGAAGTGCTTTGGATGTCTCGGCGACACGATAAGGCGCTATATCAAATGCAATAATCATTATTATTATAACATTTCCAGGTGTTTCCAAAATACACAGCTCAAGAATTGCAGTGCAGCAAAGCAAACAGCAGTTTGCAAGAACAGTGTACAAACCTACACCTTTTTCTTAAGACAGTGTACCCGATTTTCTTTTCGACACATTCATAGCTGCAAGTTTTGCAGTGCAACGACGACAACGTATTACATTTGTATAGTACCTTTCACGTCAGGAGGACGTCCCAGTGCGCTGAATAAACATACAGCATAACCAGATAGTAACCCCAAACGATGCAGCACAGTACATACATAACCTTAGTAGCATAATAGACATGTAAAGGCCTTGTGATAGAAAGCAGTGCGTACAATTGCAATATAGCATCACAAGTAATCAGTGTTCTGGTATCTAAGGTTTTCCGCACAATAAAACCCACACATTGAAAAGGTTCAGAATGAAGCAGATTGCATATAAACAGGATTGTAGCAGCAAAAATGAGTCCCCAAGGTTTGCGAAACAGCACAATAGGTAACCAAAGGCACATAGACATTCAGAGACTTGTACTGTAGCTGAAACAAACAGTAACAGATATTATCAATGACTTGCACTACAGCAAAATAACGATAATAATCCTTGCATTTGATAAAGCGCCTGTGATCACGTCTTTGAGACATCTCAAAGCGCTTCACAGGACTTACTGTACCGTGGAGTGACCGCATTTTGTATGCAAAATAAATACCCCCTTTCGTGTAAATTGCTCTATACAGGCAGAAAGAATGGTACACATTTATATGCTTGTAAAACAGGCTGCGTATGTCGACAACAACATGTTATTGTATTGTGCCTTTCACGTCAGGAGGACGTGCCAAGGCGCTGGAGGCTTTTAGTAAAGTAATACACACACACACGCCTTTGGTTGAGTACTGTATTGTGGTATATACATAAAGAGGGATTTGCAATGCTACACAACCGCAAATATTCAAGCACAGCAATGAAAAATAGATGTTCTAAGGCTTAGAATACCGTCAGCCATTTATTCATGGGATTGCAGACACATTGCCACAGCTTGTCGGACCAAAATACTGTACACTTGACCCAAATACTCAGTCAAACACTTGCAAAGACTGACATGTTCCAAGGTTTTGGCAGAATAGCGTATTCGACAAAATGCAACAGTAAAACAATTTGTGTATAGTCAAAGGCTTTCAGTAATATGCTCCCATTTGTCAAATGGCATGACCACACCAA